TTCATCATCTTCGTGGCCCTTCACTGAACTTGCTCCACTAACTCCACATCCTTTTACTGGGGAGCCCAGCACTGGACCCAGCACTCCAGGTGTGGCCTCACCAGTGCTGCACCAAAGAGAAGGCTCGCCTCCCTCGACCTGCTGGAACACTCTCCTAAGGCAGCCGAGGATGCTGTGGGCCCCTCTGCTACGAGGGCACAGAGTGGTTCCTGCCAAGGGTGGTATCCACCGGCACCCCCAGGACCTGCTCTGCGAAGCTCTTTTCCAGTGAGCTGACCCCCAGTCTGTAGAGATGCCTGGGGTTATTCTTCCTTTTACATTTCCTTGTGTTGAACTTCATGAGGTTCCTCTCTGCCCATGCAGCCAGTGTATCAGCTACTCTCCATTTTTCATCCAGCCACTGCATCCAGTTTTCCACTTCATGATATAGGAAGTTTATATCATCTGCAAACTCGCTGAGGGTGCAGCCTGCTCCATCATCCAGGTCAACAAGGAAGAAGCCAGACCTCAGGCTCAAACTAAGAGGAAGACCTGAAGACCTCAACCCAAAACTAAACTGCTGATAAATGTCTCAGTATCCTGTGCACAGATATCCCATCAGAGTTCAGTCTTACCACATTGAAATGCTCCAGTGTAGAAGGGTTACGCTCTGGAATAGTTTTGACCTAGTTAGTAATGCCACTTCTCAAGCCAGAATTAACACCTAGTTAATACCAGTTAATACAGAGCAGCTCAGAACAGGAACTGAAACGTCCCCAAAATTGCTTCCAAAGAGGGAGCACTTTCGCCACACTTCAATTTTTTTGCCAAGGTACTCTTGCTCTCAAAGGGTGTCACAGTATTTTTAAAACCCTGTCTCTCCTAAGGCCATTATTTGCTTTTCTAATGGGTTCCTGAAACTCATTAAAGAAAACATAGACTGTTCACTTTATGCCTGATGATGTCTTGGGACAAATTTCTGCAGCCTAAAGGTAACCAGTAACTGCAGAGTCCTCAAATACTGGCACTGAGCAACGCAGACACTTCCACAAATACACAATTCCCAGCAGCAAATCTGCCAAAGACAACCTGGTTTGAAGCTTCAGGGATTTAGTGGAAACACCTTAATTTACATTGCCCTAAACAAATGACTATGAAGCCAGGACAGATACAAGTTCTGACCTAGTGGGCATGAGGTTCCCCAGAAGAATGGGGACAGCTGCTAGTAATCCTAGATCAGATTTCCTCCTCTCCAGGAAATCCTAAATTTAAGAAAGGGAGCAAGCATGCAGTTTTTATTTTGATCCCTCCCAAAATGCAACATTTGTACGGATAAACATTTCATACTGAAGCAGTTGTCTTGCATTCCCGCGTTCAGCTCCAGGCAACAGCACCTGAAAAATAACTGAAGATCGGAGTCTAATACCACTGGCAGCTCTGAGAGGCAATCAGCTCAGAGAAGCAATTAGCAAGGCAGAGCACTGCGGCGTGGTTCCACTTGTGGTGGAACTCTCTGTTAGCTAATGCAGGCCTGACACAAGGAGAAGGCATCTCTGACTTCTGAGGATATTTATCAAGTGCTCACTGTAGTGAGCAGCCCCTGAATGTGAGCTCTGGCAAGAAAATACCCAAATTATAGTACAAGCCAAGGAAGCCTGAAATAAAAGATACTTGGTAATGTAGCTTCATTGTAAGTGGACATAGTAAGTTTTATTTCTTGTTTTAAATGAATGAATAATATGTGGACTGCAACTGCAAAGCTACCCAGGCTGAAGCAAACAGGAATTACTCTCGAATCATTTGATAGCAAGGATGTGTGTTCCCTTCAGCACCACTTCCTTTGTCAGCTTGGAAAAAAAACAGAAGATGGAAGGAAAGTAGCATATGGGGGGGAAGAGGAGACTCCTCACACCTTGATAAATCAAGATGACTTACACTGGAGAAACTGAAAAGGGAGCTTAAAAACATTTCTCCTAAGTCATTTCGCCTGTCACAGCTCTGTTAGAAACTTCATCGGCAGAATAAAAAGCACAGAGAGTGACAGCTGAGGCTGGAAGGCAGCTCCGGAGATCAGCAAGGCTAAAACCACTCAGAGCAGGGCCAGCCACAGCAGCTGGCTCGGGGCCGTGTCCGGGTGGCTTCTGAGCCCTCCAAGGATGGAGCCTCCACCACCTCTCTGGGATACCTGCGCCAATGGTTAACAACCTTAAAGTAAAAAATCGTTTTCTTGTATGTAAACAGAATCTCCTGTGCTACAGTTTGTGCCTCCTGCCCTATCGCTGGGTGGTAAGTCTGGCTCCATGCTCTTTACACCCTCTCTTCATATATTCATATACAGTGAGGAGATTCCCCCGAGCCTTCTCCAGGCTGAACAGTCCCAGCTCTGTCAGCTTTTCCTCACAGCAGAGATGTTCCAGGCCCTTCATCATCTTCGTGGCCCTTCACTGAACTTGCTCCACTAACTCCACATCCTTTTACTGGGGAGCCCAGCACTGGACCCAGCACTCCAGGTGTGGCCTCACCAGTGCTGCACCAAAGAGAAGGCTCGCCTCCCTCGACCTGCTGGAACACTCTCCTAAGGCAGCCGAGGATGCTGTGGGCCCCTCTGCTACGAGGGCACAGAGTGGTTCCTGCCAAGGGTGGTATCCACCGGCACCCCCAGGACCTGCTCTGCGAAGCTCTTTTCCAGTGAGCTGACCCCCAGTCTGTAGAGATGCCTGGGGTTATTCTTCCTTTTACATTTCCTTGTGTTGAACTTCATGAGGTTCCTCTCTGCCCATGCAGCCAGTGTATCAGCTACTCTCCATTTTTCATCCAGCCACTGCATCCAGTTTTCCACTTCATGATATAGGAAGTTTATATCATCTGCAAACTCGCTGAGGGTGCAGCCTGCTCCATCATCCAGGTCAACAAGGAAGAAGCCAGACCTCAGGCTCAAACTAAGAGGAAGACCTGAAGACCTCAACCCAAAACTAAACTGCTGATAAATGTCTCAGTATCCTGTGCACAGATATCCCATCAGAGTTCAGTCTTACCACATTGAAATGCTCCAGTGTAGAAGGGTTACGCTCTGGAATAGTTTTGACCTAGTTAGTAATGCCACTTCTCAAGCCAGAATTAACACCTAGTTAATACCAGTTAATACAGAGCAGCTCAGAACAGGAACTGAAACGTCCCCAAAATTGCTTCCAAAGAGGGAGCACTTTCGCCACACTTCAATTTTTTTGCCAAGGTACTCTTGCTCTCAAAGGGTGTCACAGTATTTTTAAAACCCTGTCTCTCCTAAGGCCATTATTTGCTTTTCTAATGGGTTCCTGAAACTCATTAAAGAAAACATAGACTGTTCACTTTATGCCTGATGATGTCTTGGGACAAATTTCTGCAGCCTAAAGGTAACCAGTAACTGCAGAGTCCTCAAATACTGGCACTGAGCAACGCAGACACTTCCACAAATACACAATTCCCAGCAGCAAATCTGTCAAAGACAACCTGGTTTGAAGCTTCAGGGATTTAGTGGAAACACCTTAATTTACATTGCCCTAAACAAATGACTATGAAGCCAGGACAGATACAAGTTCTGACCTAGTGGGCATGAGGTTCCCCAGAAGAATGGGGACAGCTGCTAGTAATCCTAGATCAGATTTCCTCCTCTCCAGGAAATCCTAAATTTAAGAAAGGGAGCAAGCATGCAGTTTTTATTTTGATCCCTCCCAAAATGCAACATTTGTACGGATAAACATTTCATACTGAAGCAGTTGTCTTGCATTCCCGCGTTCAGCTCCAGGCAACAGCACCTGAAAAATAACTGAAGATCGGAGTCTAATACCACTGGCAGCTCTGAGAGGCAATCAGCTCAGAGAAGCAATTAGCAAGGCAGAGCACTGCGGCGTGGTTCCACTTGTGGTGGAACTCTCTGTTAGCTAATGCAGGCCTGACACCGCAGCATCCAGCAAAGCTGAAGTCAAAAGACAGAGCTGTTACTTGCAACCATATTAACAAAGATAAACAGAATGTAGAATCCACTGGCTTGGACCTTGTAGAAGCTTTGCATTTCTACAGAACAAGAGATCTGCAAACAAAACTATTACCATTGACAGTTACAAGAATTCATATGAAGCAGCACAAAATCAGGGAAGCAACCCCTGGATTGCTGCTCACAACCTCAAAGGGTCACAGGCACGAGAAGTGATCTCACAGGTTTTCAATACATGAAAATAATCACTTCCATAATCTTTTAACAGTAGATGTGAAAGAAGCCCGTCTTATCGTCAGCGATGTTCAAATAAAAAAATTATGTCTGTATCTGTATCAACACAGGTGGAGCTTTTCTAAAAGCAGAGGAGTAGAGTACATCATCTCACAGGGTTTATTTTGACCAAAAGAGACAAGATACTTGAAATTAAAACCTTGGCAAAAGAATCTGTCTGTGCATGTCTGTCTGCACAAACCTGAGCGTACAAGTTTTCTCAACTCCAGGAGTAAGAATGCCTCCCTGGAAATTATTAAGAGGCCGATGCAACACTTCTGAGGATGAAAATATATTCAGCCGCAAGGTGTATCCAGATTAGAGTCCATAAGGACAGTAGGGAGTTTGTAAGAACCACCACACATGCATGCCAAGGCAAGGGCTGAAAAGAAGAGTACAAGCTTCAGGGAGAACAGAATAGGCAAGCATGGAGGGAGACAGAGATCAACTTTCCTCCTCCCCATTTTTAATTCATGGTTTTGGAGTCCACCACCAGGTGTTTGGGGATTACTTTTATTTTATTTATTGCTTTACTTCACTTATTCAATTAGTTTTCACTATTTACTTCTTAAACCACATGAAGATACTTCATCCCTGTCTTTTCTTTTGTCCCACAAAACGACATGACAAAATCTATTGAGTTTAAAAAAAAAAAAAAAAAAGAGCTTCTGGGACAGCTCACCAGACAGGGAAACCTGAACACGTTCATGGTGTTGCTATGAAAACCCCACAAAGCAGCAGCACCCCGTGACACCAAGTACTTTGAGTGACTTACCAGCAGGCCAGAATACAGAGTCCAGTAAAGAGGATGATGGGAATGGGGTAGGAAGCACACAACAGCCCGTGGTTGTAGAACGCCCGCGATATCCTCTCGCGCAGTTTTTCAGTCAGGGTCATCCTCAACTGTCGTCACCTAGTTGCCATCCCGGGATACATCAGGGGGTCGGGCAATTCCAGCATGTGCAACGCTTCAGCAAAGGCACTTTATCCAGCTAGAAACTGGAAAGAAAGCAAGCTCGTGAGAAAAATAAATAAAAGGCAAATAAACATTACCAACTTGTTTTAGAAAGGCCTCCGGCATTGTACCTCCTCAGAAGGAAAGGGAGAAAAAGACACCACACACCAAGCGCTTGTTATGAGCCTAGAGGCAATTTGATCAAATTATCGGTTTTTGCCTAAGGGAAGGAAGGGCAGAAAACATAAGCAGAGACTGAACAGCAGCTGAACAGACGTCCCACACCGCTGCCGTGAGCTGCTGGTCAGAGAGAACACGCCGGAACAGAGCTAGGAACCAAACCGTCTGAAAGGAAGGAAGAAAAGGAGCTCAGCAGTAAAAGAATTAAGCCGTACTCCGAGGAGATGCCAAAATGCCAATTAGAAAAGAAGGATTGAGGCTAGCTGTCAGCAACGTGGTCTTAAGGGAAGTGCTCTTGGACACCGACTGAAGCACTTTCAGTGTTTTAACTATTAGCATCACACCAGTAATGAGAGACGAGACCAGAACAGGCTTTACAGCTAAGACATCTCTAAAGAAAGTTATTTTTGCATGGGGAATGAGAGAGGGAAGCGTAAGAAGCCGCAGTTCAGAGGACGAAGCCAGAGTACGCTACACAGTAAAATAAACTCATGCAGATACTTCTCATCAAAACGTATTTTGACTTGACTGCAAGACTTACGACTGGGCTGTTTACCAAGTGCACAGTGAACTGCAGACGTCAGAACTGGGCCACTTAAACTTGCAATTTGATTTACAAAGTATAAAAAATTCAATATAAAAAGTCCCAAGAAAAGGTTAAGATAATAGATTAAAACAAAGCACAAACCAAATTTCTAGGAAAGATGGAGCAGAAGAAACCTACCCTCTAACTTTTTTTTTTATTTTTAAAATCTCAGGCTAAATGCAAAGCATGTGATTCACAGTGGTGTCCTGAGAAGTGAAAGGCAAGATAGATTTTTTTTTGTACAGTTCAAAGCTATCATTACCCAAGATGTTTATATTTTTAGCAGAGAGAAAATACATGCATTTTTCCTGGCTTCTCCAGAATAAGACTGGGACAATAAGAGACGCAAAGCGTATGGAAGAAGTCATTTTGTCCACAGGAAAAAACCCTTTAATGATTGCGCCAGAGAATTCAATGTCAGACCTAACCCCAGGCTACCCCGTCAAAACCAGCTGGTCATCTGACATTTGGAACTCCTCACCTTCACCATCTTAAACATAAAGAACACTAGAGGAGAAGGTCCAATAGGTTCACGCAGGTAAGAAATCCATTAAGGGTTTTTGTACCTATCTGGCTTAGGAATTCTGTAAGCCTTAAATATTTAAGAAGCTGGGGGAGGTATCACAGGTGCTGGTTTGTGTTATATTCTTTCCTAAGCATCCACTTTCAGCTAGATGGGAGAGAGCATACAGGGGAAGACAAACCCTAAGCACAGCCATTATGCTTTTAATTTCAGATGAAATTCTATTTAATGCCCACAGGACTATTTTACAATGATCTACCTATCTTTTTCCCCTCAGTAATGCAACTAAAAATAATCAGATTTTGAGCAATAGAAGCCTAATGACCAAATGGAAAACCCAGATAAATATTTTTGCTCGTACCTTTTAGCAAGGCGCTACTTCTGTAAGAATCAATATCACTTGCTTAGTTGTAGGCAATTTCAGTTTACCTGCAGTCCAACACCAGCACAAATGCTCCAGGATTTTGGGAGAGGGGAGGGATGAGAAGTGTGCTCTTACTGCCTGGAGACCTTGCAATGCAAGGGATTAGGCCAACAAGCCAGCCAAAATGCTATACGCCGTGTTCATGCAGAATAGAAAGGGTTTGTCTTAGTCACAGAGACAAGCTAAAATATCATACCCCGCAAAGGAACAGACACAGGGCACGTAAGAATATGCTTAGGAGTTGTAGCAATTACATCAGGAAAAGCTCAATTTTTAACCTTTAGCTTGTTTTGGTCCAGTGGCAAATAGGACCTGTTCAAATCAAGCCCAAGGCAAATGTAAAAAAGACAATTAAACAAAATGTCAAAGGTGCACCGAAATCACCAGCAATGCAGACTTTCTATGCTCGGTATCAGGGAGAGAGCAGAAAAATGAACAGAAATTCAGAATTTCAATGACAAAGCCATCTTCTGGAGCTGTTCATAAAGTGGGAAATAACGCAGAAAATCCCTGCACACACAAGCCTGCTACTCAGAACAGCCCACTGAAAATAGTAATCAAAAAATACCTTTCAAATACATGGCAGTAACTGAACTGAAAATGCAAAGTCTGTGTTACCAGAATGGGAAAGGAAGTTGCAAACAGGTATATTGGAACGGAAACATTTGGGCTTCATCCCACTGGTGATTTTTCTGAGACTGCTAAAGCTAGAAGGCGTTATGCTGGGGCTCACAGATGGATCGTAACCCTAATTTAAGGGGAGAAGACAAAAAGCAAATATTAAATAATCCTTAAAAGCAAAGCCAACATGGATCACACTGCAAAACCTCTGGTTTTCAGCACCCAGACTCCATGGCTGTCCCGCTGCCACAGAAGATCTGATCCCTTGTGACAGGATGCAAGGTAACGCGATTGCCCAGCCTAAGCAAGTGGCGGGGAAATTAATAAGCTTCCTATGAGCCCCAATTACATTCGTAATAAAGTTTATGAATGCTGTGAGTGCAAGAATTGGAATTATGAGAAAAGCTTCAAGCACTAGAAGGCAGCTGACCTTGATGATCGTTGCAGGTCCCTTCCAACTGAAATATTCCACTCTGTTCTAACTGGTCACAGAAGGAGGAGGGAGGGGGCAAAAAACCCCTGAGTTTAGACTACTGAAAAATCCAGGTGGCTATACATAACACACCCAACATAAAGCATAGGTCAGATGTGAAGAAAAATTCTCATCCCTAAGAGGCAGCATCACTGTGGCAGCATTTGGAACAAGGAAGGCTTGGATGGGCACTGCTCTGGCAAAGCAGGGCCACTCCTGCTTCTCTGCATGCTGCCTCCTGCGGGCAGCCGGCACTCGGCCCGAGACGGACCTCAAGAACCAGTCTCCACACATGCTGTGCCAACGCTACCCTGCCTGCATCCGCACAGTTCAAGTACCTGGCCTTTGATTCCCCACCTTTACCTTAACGCGCAAATACATCACCATCTCTGATGCACGCAGGTCTCTAGGGACCTGGACACCCACAAAAACTTGGGTGTTGGAGTCTAAAAAGAAATAGCCGAGCAGATCTGATCTTCCTTTAGGGCAGAGTGTCAGGTTTGCACCATCCCTTCTGATCCTTGTTCTAGGAGTAACTTGGGAACAAGGTGTATATTCTACTTCTGTGGCAGAAATATGCCAGGACTGGCTCTTTAACCAGCCTCACCTTCTGACAGCAATTTTGGTTGTTGGCATTGTACTGGGAACCTTTTCTACTAATTGCAAAGAGGAAAACTTTGTATTTACTTGCTTCACCTGACGTGAAACATCAGCATTCATTAAGAAGGAAACATTAAGCATTCCAAAGCTAATATTTGCTGATTCATTTTTTGGGGGTTGGCACATTAAATTCTGAAATCTTTATTGACTTTATGCTACAACAGTGCTCATAAAAGTTAAAAGCAGGAACCGTTCCTATTCAGTCATTTTTACAAACAAAGATTAGCTAACTCAACCTAAACCCGCCGATTTTAGGACAAATGTTAAAGGAGAATCCATTCAGAGTATTTCTTTCCTTTTGCGTGACTGCAAGTCCAAGACAAAGTTTGACTGGAAATCAGCAGAAATCAGGGCGTTTCCTTGACCTTGTGACACCATACACTGCATTCCCGGTTCACTGCAGGTACAAGAGGCAGATACACAATGAAGTTCAGAGATAGAGCAGAGGAAACAAAAGCCAACAGCAGGCTTGAAAGAGCAAGGTTTGGCTTTTAAAGCCTCTTCATTCCCAAACTAAGTTACACATGAAGCAACTGCTTAGGCTCTCCAGTCATTCCTTCCATTTACAGAAGCGTAAAACATTATTATTGCCAGGATTACACAAATTCAGCTCTACACGAGTGTGATTTCAGTGAAGATGCTTTCCCCCCCACGCACACACACATCCAATTCCAACGTTTCGTGCAGCTGCAGCACTTCCCTTGGTAACCACTCCCAGGGGCTGGCTGGGGGGGCGTAGGTCCGGGAAGGGCACCCTGCACCGAGGCTACTCATCCACGCCTCGAGAAACAGGTTTTTCTGTGCAGCCTCGACAAACGTTTCATGAGAGATGCAACACATCCTTGTCACAAACTGGCAATTCAGTGCTGCGGCAGTGCTGCAGACAGACAATAGAATTTGGATTATAACAAATTCACAACATCTGGATAGCTGCAGAAGAGCGGATTAATCCACCTCATAAAACCAGAATTTTTTCCCCCATTCTTGTGTTACACAGAGAAGAAAAGGCAATTGCCGAAACACCCCAACTGCCATGGTCTACAAGGTAATTTGGTGCAGATTACATTGCATACGGGGCTAAGCACACTTCACAATCAGGGTGCCACAGGCACGCACACATACAACAGTGGGTGAGAAAGTCCTGAACCAAAATCCTGAAAATCTTGATAGCCTGCGACTAGTCAATGTAATAGCACAAGCCAGGCGAAGGCAAGATGCCAGAGCCAGCGTCCTGCAGTGCTGCCCAGCATCCCTCGCCCTCCTGCCCACAGGAGCTGCTCTGCTAACTCCTCCAGGGAGCCTGGCTGTTACCACAGGGCTTCTCAGCTGGAATTCTGTTTCCCTCTGAAGCCCCTTTCCTCACCCACAGGCAGGAGGGGAAATAGGACTAAAAACTGAAATTTTTTTCTGACACCATGTTATACACCACATCTTTGTACTTTTTTGGGTGTACTGCATCCTCTGCCGCACACAGACTTACCAATGAGGTTCTCAAGTAGCCAAAAACTCTTCTCACACATAATGCCGCAATTCCAGAAGGAGAGCGTCTACCACCTCATCAAGAGAAAGCACAACCAC